GCCGGCTTCCTGACCAAATGTAAACTGTCAACAAAATTATTCGCACACCCTCCGTCACTATGTGATGGAGTGCGAAAAGATACGTGAATTCAGAGACAATTCTATAACCAATGTACCAACGATGTGTCAATATTTCATTCAAAATGATCTGCTACCAGAAATTTTAGCCAAATATCCCCAGTTTGCTAACTGTAGGTAGTAACTAAGAGTGACTGTAACCTATCCACCGCTGCCCACTGGATGGGGAGAGGGGAGGGGGGGTGCAGGACAAACATATCAATTGTGACACTAGGCTCTCCACATATGTCAGGTGCTTAATTTAGAAACTGTACTTGTGGTCGATCTCGAACCCATTGATGATGTGACGACTTACACTGAATTTTGTAACTAGCTCATCAAGATTGTAACTTGCTTAGCTAAATGAATTGTGGGGTTTAGTCCCTGAGCCCATTATGTGCCTCTGTAACCCTTTCCACTACCGCCCACAAGATGGGTATGGGGGTCCATAATAAAGAAAGAAATTGAATTGTGGCGACGTTGATAACCCCTGGTGTTAGCGTGTAGCCTCTCAGCAGGGGTGAGAGGTACGCCAGCAAGAGGCGCACACACGCACACTGTGAGAGTAAGCAAGCTGGTCCCTACGCCCAGCTACAGACAGTACCTCATAAGGTGGACCTGTAGGCAAGTTGCCCGTGGGAGCACCCCGTGCTAAGGAAGAAAACTGGACCTTTGAATGTAAATAAGAAAACGAATATCACGCGTTCTTTTGATCTATAACTTTGGTATCTGCTTGAAACACATGTTTTGTTTTTCCGGATATATGATGAGATTGTAAATAAACAATAAATTTTTATTTAAATGATGAGATTATAAATAAACAATAAATTTTTATTCAGGAAAAGTACATAATTAGTTGATTTACAAACATAATGTTGGATTTATATATAGAGCTAGTTTATAACAAATAATATATGTTTATTTGTTCAACTTTATGTGCAAGTACTTATCGCATGATAGAGAAAATGGTCCCAGTGGGATGTACAGTTGGCCATTGTTGTCCCAGGTCATGGGATGGATGCCACCAGTTCCTTGATTTATAACACTGATTATTTGCCTGTATTACCATAAGGGATTTTCTGCTTTCCGGTTTGCCATGGTATTCAAAGGCTTGTTGAAAGTCTTCCCATTTGCTTTGTTGATCTTCTCCAGTTGTAATTTAAAGGTAAACAGAGTTTTGTCATTTAGGACTTTGGCAGGTAAGTGGGTCTATGGGTTAATAACCCTGTGGATGAAAAAGCATCTTTTGTTCCCAGTCTTACATTGTGGCATGTTGAGTTTGAAACTGTTGTTCCTTGTTTGTTATTTGTTATAGGTATCATTAGTGGTTGGTGAATAGTTTTGTAGATTTCATGTGGGACTAATAGAAACGTTTAACTAATTTCAATAGAACTTCTGAAAATTTGAAGGTGTTGTATTATGCTTAACCACCGTGCTGCGCCGAGTTTATTGTGAAATTCCCTCCTTACCTTGGTTACCTTGAGGTGCTTCCGGGGCTTAGCGTCCCCGCGGCCCGGTCTCCTCCCTCTGTGCGCATGAAATAAAATGTTCCCCCTAAAAAATCCTTTTTCTTCGTAAAATGATAAATTCCCTTCCCTGAACATGTCTATATAAAAATAAATACCAAATTCCACTTTAGCTGTGGGGACGTGGGCAAAATGCGCTGTGATATCATCAGGGGCTGGTCGCCCGTGTGTGACACTCCCAGACATTCAAGTTCAAGTTCAAGTATGTTTATTGAGATAAGCAATAAATACATCTCAAAGGGATAGAGTAGCTTAGGCTATTTCTACCCCCTCTACTTCAAGTCCCTCAAGGGGCGCACAAATGCAGTGAGTACAAAGAGACAAATAACATTACAAGAATCCCATTTAACATTGCAGGTTAATATAGTAAGCACAGCATATAATTGTTACACTCTTGGGGCAAAATTCTTGTAGCTCCTAAGTATACTGTCTATCATACCATTATCACACATCCAAACAATTTGATGTGGTACACTATTTCTCCCAGACATGGTCACGCGGGCCATTCAAGCACCGGATGCTGCCACAAATATATTTTCTATTACTTATTCTCTGTATTTTCAATGTGGTTTTATTAGTTTTTTATTGTATATGATGCATATTTGTGTCCTTTACAATATGCATACAGTAGAACGTTCATGATGTTCCATGGAACTGTGATACATGTGCCAGTAATGTGCCCACAATAAATGTTTATTCTTGCAATATTACTTGTTAAAAATTCACTAAAATTACAATATGTACAGTTTCACACACTATTTACACAGTAACACACTGTATTACACACTCAGTACTTCGGAAGTGAGTAATAATCAACGAAGTAGTCCATGGTACACAGCACGACACTCGTTCCTCCAGGTACAGATAGATTTTCGTTTTTTTTTTTTTTTTTTAAGATATATACAAGAGTTGTTACATTCTTGTACAGCCACTAGTACGCATAGCATTTCGGGCAGGTCCCTGGGATACGATCCCCTGATGCGAAGAATCGTTTTTTCATCCAAGTACACATTTTACTGTTGCGTTAAACAGAGGCTACAGTTAAGGAATTGCGCCCAGTATATCCTCCCCGGCCAGGATACGAACCTATGACATAGCGCTCGCGGAACGCCAGGCGAGTGTCTTACCACTACCACCACTTATCTTACCACAGTCACTTTCTGTTTCTTCGTTCTGTGTGCTTGCAAATAACGCACTCACGTACACCCTTGGCATTAGTACCTGTAGGTAATATGTAACCAAGCTTGTAAAACGTAAGGTAGTCTTGAAAAATTACAGAAAAAGATCAATTTGTAAGGTAGTCATTAAAAGATCGCTTTGTAAGGTCCCACACACGAAGAGATTCAGCCAGCCTCAAAGAGTGTCCATCAGTCAAGCAGAGATTCAGGTATTCTTGAAAATATCTATGGAAAACACCACCGTGGAACCCGCTAACACTGTTCATCTATGCTACTGGTATCAGATGCATCATCACTGAACGCAGAAAACGATTCATCTATGTATCATCTAAATAAATTGGAGATAACGCAGGTGGGCAAGGGTGGCGCTCAGAGCTACAACCGGATACGCTCGCTGTATCGTCCTCATAGGTGCTGTATCACTTGCATCCGATCTTTGTGTTAGGTCCTTATTGTGCCTAGCTTCACCAATATTATAACCTTTATGTTCTTCAAACAATAAGGTTTGAATTTCACAGACAGAGCGTTATTTTTCAACGCCGTGTCGGACAGGTGTTTGGGAGCCCGAGGCACGTTTACCACCCATGGCTGCTCTTGCCGGGGACTGGTCAAGTCGTCGACTGCAGGTTCGGATAACAACTTCGTTCACTGAGAATTTTATACATTCGTACCCTTTCGTTCGTACATGCGCTGGTTTGTGTTCGCTGCTGTTCTCGCCTGAATAAATACATGGCACTTGATCATATAATTTTTTAATTACAGCAGATTTAGTATTTATGTAAGAATCTACCTCAGTGGGTCCGTCTAATTACCACAAGCTACACAAGCTTCACAAAGCTTCACAAAGCTTCCTGGCAATACGTTAGTAATGAATAAATATGATATGTTAGGTTAGGCTAACCTAACCTAACTTAACCAAACCAAACCAAACTTAACCAAACCAAACCAAACCTAACCTAACCAAACCTAACCAAACCAAACCTAACCTAACCTAACCAAACCTAACCAAACCTAACCTAACCTAACCAAACCTAACCAAACCAAACCAAACCTAACCAAACCTAACCAAACCTAACCAAACCTAACCAAACCTAACCAAACCTAACCAAACCTAACCAAACCTAACCTAACCTAACCTAACCGACGCTTGGATCGTCGACTTTATTTGGCGTCACCAGCTCTTTATTTTCTTCTAATTTCTTAATAAAAATATAGTGATAAGTGATAATATGGTGAGACAAACCACATTGGGAGAGGAAAGTATTGAGGTTCTTTTCATTAGCAATTGTAAACATTTTGCCCTCTGCAGTCTTTCTCACCTTTATCAGTGCATCACTAACGAAGCACTGATGAATCGCATCTGGGTTTTGTTGACGGATTTGACGCAGGCGGTAGAGGCGTTGCTGTCTGTTCCTAGTCTAGCACTCGTTGATGTATAATCCCTTCCGTTGGGATGCAGCTGTCCGGACAAGATGGGATTTCATGAACTGGGAAGTCAGCTTCAGGCGAATTTTCCGCTGGTTTTGTCCTGATGGATTCTTTTTGCCTATTCTGTAGGCAGCTTGCCAATTGGTCAATTCAAACTTGCTAATTGGTCAATATAGTAGTAGTAGGCATCCATCAGTCTCAGGAGACTATGCTTGCCAATTTGTCAATATAAGCTTGCCAATTGGTAAATATAAGCTTGCCAATTGGTAAATATAAGCTTGCTAATTGGTAAATATAAGCTTGCTAATTGGTAAATATAAGCTTGCCAATTGGTAAATATAAGCTTGCCAATTGGTAAATATAAGCTTGCCAATTGGTAAATATAAGCTTGCCAATTGGTAAATATAAGCTTGCTAATTGGTAAATATAAGCTTGCCAATTGGTAAATATAAGCTTGCCAATTGGTAAATATAAGCTTGCTAATTGGTCAATATAAGCTTGCTAATTGCAAGAAATATATGCTTATATAATAATATAAAAAAATATAAGCTTGCTAATGGGTCAATATAAGTTTCTTAATTGGTCAATATAAGCTTGCTAATTGATCAAAATAAGCTTGCTAATAGGTCAATATAAGCCTGTCAATTGGTCGATATAAGCTTGCTAATTGGTCAATATAAGCTTGCCAGTCAATCAATATACGCTTGCTCACTGGTTAATATAAGCTTGCAGTAACCCATGAGGTTGATAGACTTTTAAGCCCAATACCTGGTCTATTATGAGGGGTTACTAATTAGTTTTATTTCCCCAGGAACGTCTGCCCATACACAGTCAGCAAGATGGTGTCCTGCAAGGTTACCAACGGCACCGAGACCTACACTGGCAAGGTTGCCATTGGCAAGCGTGTCCAGTTCATGTATGTATTTTTGTGCCTGTTGTATTTGTATAGAAAGTATTTTGTGCATGTTTTCATCGTCTTGAGTGGTGCACAATTTATATCTATGTATAATATGTATTTCTATATATAGCTTTTATCCTCCTGCTTTAAATGTATAAAGGCTGTAAATGTTGATGTCAGTTCATCCATCTGCTCCCCCCCCACTTTTTTTTATATATGTAGGTACAGGACTAGACGACTTCTGACTACCGTTAACAGGCTTAGAACTTTCCTTCCCATAGCTCATCTCAAGCTTTGCCTAATTGTTTTTCCCTTGGAACATGACCTGCCAATCGGATAACATCCAGGTCCCCAGTTACTGCTGGGTGAACTAGAGCGATCATGTAAGTTTCTGCTCAATCAATCATCCCTTGCCATGGTTTGGCCCCCCCCCCCCCATCCCCGAGGAAATCGCTCGCGTTGCGCGTCCGAGGCCTGTTTTTGTTCAGTATTAGTTTTAGTTAGTTAAATTAGCTTATTGTAGATCCCATACCCATCTTGCAGGTGTGGCAGGAAAGTTTCTCAGTCTCCGTGGTGTAGTGGTAAGACACTCGCCTGACGTTCCGCGAGCGCTTTGTCATGGGTTCGTATCCTGGGCGGGGAGGATTTACTGGGTGCAAATCCTTAACTGTAGCCTCTGTTTAACTGAACAGTAAACTGTGTACTTGGTTGTAAAAACGATTCTTCATGGTGGAGGTCGTATTCCAGGGACCTGCCCAAAACGCTACATGTACTAGTGGCTGTACAAGAATGTAATAACTCTTGTATATATCTCAAAAAATCTCAAAAAAGTTTCAGGGGCGAGTATATAATGCTCGGTTCATGGTCACGGGTGCTGAAGCTTAGTTAAGTGTGGTAACAGTCTACACAATTCATAACACTGATGTAACTAAACTTAATTCTAACCTCAGTAATTTAATGTTAATTTAAGCAACGAACTTAACAAATATCAATTAATACTACTATCACGCGATTTTAATATTGACCTCTGTCAGCCTGATAACTCACAAGTTGCTAGCTTCCTGAACTGTATGAACTCTTGCATGCTAAGCAAATGATGGATATTTTTATTTAGAAATATCCGGATATTCTAAAAAAGGCAAGAGTAACCCCAGTCCATAAATGTGGTGATCTCATTGATGTCAACAATTTCAGACCTATATCAATTCTGCCAACCTGGTCCAAAATATTTGAAAAGCTAATCTACAAGCAGCTTTACTCTTTTCTAGCCAAACACAATATACTTACTTCTTGCCAATATGGCTTCAGACCCCAAAAAAGCACTAATGATGCACTGATTAGTATGAGTAACTTGATACATGCATCTGTATCAAAACGTAAAAAGTAACTGTTTTACTGGTTGCTGGTACAATAGTAGTTCTGCTTAGAGCTAGCTATACGCTACTAATTCATTTTGAATACTATAATTCAAAAACATCTTTTCATCCACTTAAAAGATCTTGAACTTATAAAGTGAGGAGTGAATGTAGACAATGTAGGCCAAATAAAAAACCAGCGTTGAATGTAATGAAACGCCATTTTCTGAGTGAGCCCCGGAGGCTCCCTGGAGCTTATAAAAATAAAAAATAAAATGTTTATTCAGGTAAGGTACATACATACAAGAGATTTTACATAAATTGATCGTTTTATAGATGGAGCTAGTACATACAATGCCTAAAGCCACTATTACGCAAAGCGTTTCGGGCAGGAAAAACATTAATGACTAAAAACTTAATACTAATTGAGTATAAAGAATAAAATGTGTTGAGAACAAATAAAAATAAAGATAAAAAAGGGGGAAACATGGCTGAAAAAGCAGCACAAATACAATTAGGTCGACAAACAGCGTTGTTTAAGAAAACAGACATGGGTTGACAATAGAGGGGTAAGGTAGGTTACAGGGAATTTATTAGGTAGTGCTTCGTTTTTATCTTAAACAGGTTGAGAGAGGTACAGTCTTTAACATGGTTGGGAAGGTCATTCCACATTCTGGGTCCCTTGATTTGTAGAGCATTTCTAGTTTGATTAAGTCGTACTCTTGGAATATCAAAACTGTATTTATTTCTGGTGTGGTGCTCATGGGATCTGTTACAACCTTCAATGAAGCTTTTGAGGTCAGGATTGGCATTACAGTTCAGTGTTTTATATATGTATAATACACATGAGAAAATGTGCAGTGACTTAATATCTAACATATTCAGAGATTTGAGTAGGGATACCGAGTGATGTCTGGGGCCAGAGTTGGATATTGTCCTAATAGCAGCTTTGTGTTGAGTAATTAGAGGACGTAAATGATTTTGGGTAGTAGAACCCCAAGCACAAATACCATAGTTGAGATTGGGCTAATGTTATGTTATATTAGACCAGGACATTAGCTAAGGAGTTCAGACCTACCAGGGACCAGCACCAGAACCTGGCCCCCTTCAGAGGTTTCAGGGAGCAATGGCACTGAAAAACCCTCTTGTGGTTGGGGTTTTCCTTATCTGCCATCGACTGGGGTCAGGCACCCAGAAAGGTAGGCATGGCAAAACAAACCCCACATGGTAAAAAACTAAAACAGAAAACCGAACAGAGAGGTAGAAACTCCCTACGATCCCAAGGAAACAAGCAAACAAGCAAACATCACATTTTACTGCCGCGCCGATCGCCGTGCAGCCCTCCCCGCCCCGAGAGGGGGAGGGGGGAGCCCCGGGCCTACCGCGCCGGCTGCCAAGCTACAGTTCAGAAGTTAAGCTTCAACCAACGTGAAAAAACCGCCGACCGGTGGGAGGGAGGGTTGCCAGGGAGCCTCCGGGCTCACCCAGAAAATGGCGTTTCATTACATTCAACGCTGGTTTTCTGTGGGGAGCCCTTACAGCTTCCTAAAGCTTCATACCCAAAGAGAAGGAAAAGAAAGGGCTAACCCAGGAAGCAGCTGCCACAAACTCTGCAACATGAAGCCGAGACAACAGGATGCAACTTGCGACCCAAGGCAACAAGAACGCACAGGAGCAGACGCGCATAAAGAATGGGCGGCCAAGAACCTGTGCGACCCTCAATTTTCTGTGCCTGAAATGAGCCCTAGACGTCAGCAAAAGCTGCAAACATCCGAACAGCACGGGCGCAAAAACAGACCGCAGGCTGGAAGACTGAAAAACTCTGCGGACGACCTGGGAGACCCGAGCCCTGAAACAGGGAACAAGTGGAACTGGATCAAACCAAACTGCATCCCCAGACACAGTACGCAGGTAACGGCAAAAAGCGCAATCGGACAACACAGGACACACCCCCGGCCAAACCAATCACGCATCAATAACCCAAGAACCCCTCCGGAAACCAGCCGTCTCGACCATCCCCAGGATGGAGAAAGGCTGCACATGTACAAATCTACCACCAGTAGCAAAGAGCAGAAACCTGATCCGAAGGGGCTATCACAAACTGAGAAGATAAGACGGCACCCTGATTAAGGACCAGGAAGGCGCAGGCGATGCATGAGCAGGCCAGAAGTGAAACAAAACACGAGAAAGCATACGAAACGGGGCAGATGTAACGTCCACCCCGAACGCAAGCTGGAGCGTTCGGGGTGGACGTTTTGTCCGCCAGCGGCGCACAAAACGAGGCAACAGTAAGAAACATCAAATAACTGTAGTCCTGAAAACCCAAGAAAGGACAAGACAACCCGATGCGAAAGAGAAGACAACGTACAAAGAGCAAGAAAAAGTGCATAGAAACACCAGGAACGTCATACTGTCGCCAAGATGAAGCTCACAGGTGGGACACCATCAACAAGGCCACCTGAACACCAAACACCACAGAGATGGTGATTCCCGCGTCAAAATACCAGACATGAAGAGCCGAGGAGAAGGCCGAACCAGTCATGTACAGGACCGATCCGACCTGCCGAAAGAGGCGGAGCCGCGGGAAAACGCCCCGGGTTCGGATACCTATCAAGCAGCGTCTGAAAAGAAAGCTGGGCCAGCCACCAAGGAACCATAAGGACTGCTCTCGTTGGAATGGGCTGCAACCGAGCCAGAACCCGAAGCAACAGCTGGACTGGGAGAAGAGGAACAGGTACCCCCACCTTGACCAGTCCTGCCGAAAAGCATCCAACATGAATGCCTCGCAGGTGGGTAAGGGCGCCACATAAAATGGGCGACGCCTAAACCACGCCGACTCGAAGAGTCCATGGCCAGGAGTCCATACGTCCGGCAGAGCCAACGAAGCGAGTTGGCGATGACTGGCCAATCCGAGAACAGAGGAATGAACCGAGACAGCTGTCCGCCAGGACACAGGATACATCCCAGACATGAATCTCACGGTTAGCCAAACCCCAAGAATCCAGCAAATGAGCCACTTTGGAACCAACTCCAAAGGTCAACACCTAAGAGAAACCCTGTGGTTCTGGCAAGAACTGCCAGAGAACAGTCCAAATGGAGCTGAATGGTAGACCACCTAGTAACCCAAACCCTCCAAAGCGCAAACTAGACAGCTACGAACTCCTGAACCGTGCTGTGAGCCTGACAGACGGACAGACTCCACCATTCCCAGCCGACCTGGTGAACACTGGTCACAAAGCCCCAGCCGAGAGATGACCCGTCCGTGAACACATTGAGTGAAGGGTCGGGGAGGTGCCAAGGCACGGAACCCCAAAAACCCCAAAGAGGAAGCTGGTGACGCAGCAGCAACACAAGATCCCCAGAGGAATGAACCCAACGATTGGAAGAGGCAGAAGGGGAGTCTCCGAAGGAACCAAACAGACGCCGAAGCCAAACCCGACCCCGTGGGCAGACCAGCACAGCGAAGTTCAGACTCACGCACAACCGCTCGAGCATCCCGGGACCCCCTCATGAACAGCCGAAGGCAGGACAACAGCCGCAGTAACACTTCTGGAGGGAAAGACAAGGAGTGGCCCAATAGCCCTAAACAAGGCCCAGGTCTGAACCCGGGACGGAAACAGATGGAATAGCCTCCAGATCACCAGGAAACCAAACCTGGCAATC